TTAGCTCTAAGCCACCTCTTCAGTCCAAGTACTTCTCTCCGCCTCCTCCTGCCCGGACTCTCGAACAGAACTGGTCACATTCATCCCCTTACTCCAGATTCTCTATTTCTCCTGCAAACATGGCAAGCTTTTCCCTTACGCATCTTACAGATTCGGATATAGAGCAAGGAGGTAAGTGATTTAGTTAAAATTATTATTTTGAAGCTACCAATTAATAAATATAATTAATAATTCCCGTTATTGCCTTGTCATGGGTTGTTTTATTGTCATTGCACAGGATGAGGAATTTGTCTACAGTTGTCCAAGCCTGTTTCACAGTTTTGATGTATTGCTTTCTATCAACTGCATTTCTGATGTTCTCTCAAGAATTGCAGTGTCTTTTCTAAAGCTGAGTAGAACAGTTCAGAAAGCTAAACAAATCAGTTCAGTTTGTTGAGTAGTAGCAGAATCACAGAATCACAGAATGGCCAGTGTTGGAAGGGACCTCAAGGTTCATGAATCTCCAACCCCCTGCCACGTGCAGGGCCACCAACCTCCACGTTTAATGCTAAACCAGGCTGCCCAGGGCCCCATCCAACATAGCCTTGAATACCTCCAAGGATGGGGTGTCCTCAGCCTCTCTGGGCAGCCTGTTCCAGTACCTAATCTATTAACAGAAGCTTTCTTGTATGTAACAAAAAGCTTTTTAAAGCTTGAATGCATTTTTGACAACTTAGAGGGGGGGAAAAAAGGGCAAACTTGAATCAGTTCAGCGTATTATTAATCTAGATAAAATATTGCATTATAAAATACTAGTGACTGCTGAGCCTTTCTGATGATCAGTGTAAAAATGTAATCAGTTGCATAGTTCTGTATTGTTCTTGTTTCATGCTTGCTGGTTAGATAACGTTGGCTGCTCAGTAACTTACTGAGATCAGAGATTCTGGAAATCCTGCGCTGCCCTGCAGTGACGTTGAGCGGTGTGATTTCAGCAGGTGCACGTGCATCTGGGAGCTCAGCGTTTGCAGTAGTTGAAAGCTTCAGGGAAAGATAAGCCAGTACAGAGGAGTGAGCGATAGCAGCATGGCAGGGTGTGGGAAAAGACTCGCAGAGCAGCGATGGGTTGCTGGCATCTCACTGCACCTTCCCTCTGCCAACAGGAAGCAGTGAAGATGGAGAAAAAGATTAAATAGTTAAAAACTTTCTGGGACTTCATACACAGGACGCACAGACTGTGTCTGAAACTTGTTTGTGTGAACTCTGGATCTCCTGGAGAGACACAGGTAATCAAGAAGCCCTGAGAAATGAAAGTAAACACTGAAAGCAATGTTAAATCAGGACATTAATTTGAATGTGTATTTAACTTTGTAATGTATTTTTAAATCAGTGCAATTTTGCTTTTCATTACTGAAAGATGATTCTGCCGCTGTTTTCAAGTACTTGAAGTATTTTTCAGATAACTTAAGAGACAAGTTAAGCAATTACACTGCAGTCTGGTTTATGTATGAGATTGTATAATATTCTTTTTATATTTTTCCATGTAGTTCATTATGTTTGAACATACACCTGTTGTAGAATTGTGCATAACTGTCCTGTGCAACAGGTGGCTGTGTCGCTGGAACTGTATGAATGATAGTTGATCAGTAGTGAGCCATATTTATTTAAAAGATATCACTACATGTTACTTTGCTTATTACAATTGCACTATGGATTATTCTTCCTCTATTTCCTGATGATGTACAGAATCAAAATGTTAAATCTTTCGAGGAATATGAGACAAGTTGAATTGGCCCAGTTACCCAGTTTGATTTGTCCTTTTTGTAGCCTTTGCTATGCACGGTACTTGTAAAACGTACATAACTTCCGAGTGTTAGATTTGCTGAAATCTTATATTCAGTACCATTTCTAAATGATGACTATAGATTGTTAGTGTTCATGTTTTATAGGAAACTGGAATAGTGTATATGATGTACTCTGGAATTTGTAGATGAAAGATAATGTCTCGATTCCTGAATACGATCCTACTGACTGCTTGAACTGTAATTCCATCTGACTGGGTCACACTTAAGGGCCTTCCAGTTGGCACTACAACTTTCTGCCTTGGAGAGAGAAGAAACAAAATTGACTGTACAAAACTGGGAATTATGAATCTTCTAAAAAAGACTGATTTAAACAGACTGGATTTCAGGCATGTTTGGCCCTTCAGTTGTACATTCTGTGAATTTTGAAGCTCTCTTCTGCTGACTGCAGACTGGGGCTACCGTTCAGAGGCCTGTGGTAGATCTACCTCTCAGTGATGTTCCGACAATTAAGAATTACACTAATGGTTCATAGCCAGTTCTACACCCTTTGTGAGGCCAGACTTACTGTCAGATATCTGCAGGGCTCCATGGTACATCTTGAAATGCACACCCAAAGATGTTGTATAGTAAAGTTTACTCTGAAGCTGCCTGTAGGGAAAGGAATACAGCGTGGTTCTTGAACCCTCGTGCTCTCCTGTGCATTTAGTTAAATTCTTTAAATTGCTTGGGAAAAAAAGAATCCTTAATTACTATTGCAAAGTGAGTAAATTTGAGAAACAACTCCCTGGCCTCTTGGAATGCCTTATGCAGCTGCAGATCTGTAGGAAACACTGACAGGAACAGTTTACCTGGCTTTAAATTACATTGTATTTTAGTGGCTTTTTTTGGGCAGGGCTTCAGTATAATGGTGGTGGTAGTGCTCTGTGTTCAGATCCAGTCACCTGAAAACATTTGTCCTCTGAAGTGCAAGAGGACTGGATATTTACAGATCTGTGAAGTTGGTGTCTTATACTTCTGTATGCATTTTGGTTTTTTTCAATGAAAAGGAATATGTTAATTGCTTCTTTCCAGCACTGCCCAGCCCTTGGCCCGACTGGCTTCCACACCAGCCAAAAGGGAGCGACTTAGTTCTGTCAAGTTATTAAAATTGCCAATGTGTTGGTGAGAACTTTGTTGATGAGGCACTCAGGTTCAGGGCTGGTAAGAATTGTGCTTCAGTGCGAACGGCTTAAGGAAGCTGTGAGCTGCTTGGGATATGTTAAGAGACAGATAATTGACTTCTGGACATATTATTGCTTAGAAATTCCAGAGTTTCAATATTAAACTCCTCGATACAACTAGATTAAGGTATCACATCGAGGTTCAGTAATTCTCACACTCTAAAGTGTGAAAATTCAGAACTAAGTATGAAGCTCTGTAAGCGGTCTGCAGATGGTGGGTGGTTTTATCTGCCCTGGGAGGTGAAAAACGACTGTGTCAGACCTGGAGTTCAGCCTTAATTTTGAATGGCTTGACTTAGAGTATGGTCCAAAGTGAAGTACAAGCTTGTATTCCACAATGTTAAAATTTGGTTGTGCGTTTTGGTCCTTAAAATTCTGGAAACTCAGCTGTTCTCACATGTGCAGCCTTCCAGCAGGAATTCCCTTGGTCTGATGGAAATACAATGTCTGTTCTTCACCAGAGTTTAAAGAAAACCTTACATAGGGATTGAAAGTTCACCCCTTAGTGCAAACGGACGAATTGCTAGCAAATTGCCAAAGGAGCACATTTTCCAAATGGGCTGGGATGTGTATGATATTAAGCAATGTCCTTTTCAGCTATACAAAGAGGAGAGAAATATGTGAAGTTGACTCACCTCAGTTAAGCCGTGGGTTTATTTCAGTAATCCAGAAGGCTAGATGGCAATAATCCTAAGGGTCTTTTTTGGACAAATAAAATTACAGTAAACATCTGATCAACTATTAGCAATACTGCAATATATCCACCTAGCACTCAGTGGCACAGCGAAGATGAACTGGTAATTCCACAAATTGTGTTTAATGAGGTGATGTGTTACGAATCATTCTTAAAACTGTATGAAATTCTTGCACTGGCTACTTGAGCATGGTTTCAGTTTCGGAAGTAGATGTTCTCTCTTTTCAGACTGCTGAAATTTGAATTCCCTCCCTAGTACGATACTTTTATCCAAAGACGTTGTCTCAATTTGGCTGCTGAAGTTGTTTATGAAACCTGATGTTTTTCCCACCTAAGGAAGTTTATTTACAAAAATAAAAATGAAGATCTGTAGTAAGAAGCCAACAAAGTGGGAAGTGTGTTCAGTCTTAATGGAAAGGCCTGTCCTCTCCCAGATCCCTGTCTGCAGGGACGTGGCATGTCTAACTGCTCGTGGGAAGGGTCGAGTTCAGCATGTTTCATATCCTTGTTGATGCACTAATGAAAGCCATTTAAGCCTCATTCTTTTTATCAGTATTTTTAGCAGATTTTTATGTTGCACGCAAAGCTTCCTTCGCCAGGAGGCTGGTTGGTGAAGGACTTCTGAGGAGGCGCTGCGTGTCGGCGTTGTCAGGTGTTGGTGAATGGCTATTTTTGTTGGGGTTGATGAAAGGTGGAGAGTTGGTGGAATCAAAATTTATTAGCCTTATAAGAAATAGCCTTAACTAAGAACGGAGCGTACGAAATTACTTCAGCTTTAAGTCATACAGAAATATCCTTGTGTGTTAATGGCTTCGGTACGAGACTGGAAAAAGCGTAGAGGGGAGTCGAACATCATAGAAACTTACTGAGAATAAGTATTTGTAAAACCAGCAGCCTGTTTTTCAGAAACTTGAATATGACTTACAGTTAGTTTTGTTTATGAAATTGTTCGAACTTGCACAGTTGTAGGTGTAACTTAAATGACAAATGGTACTGATGTGTGTGTATATATGTTTAATTCTATTTGTAAATGGGAAACTATGTAACAAAACCATAGGTATGAGGTTTTCCTATTGTAATTTAATACAGGTATGAGGTTTATGGCAATATATCATAGTTAATGAATTTCAGGTCAAAATGTCTTTAAATTGTGTACATTTTTAAATTGTAATTTCTACTGTATATTGATTATCATGCATAGTGTGATTCAATAAATTGCTTGTAATTTAAAAATATTTAATATTAAAAATAAAATAGTTATATATTTATAATCTCCTTGTCTGTTTGTTCGTTCTTAAACAGATGCCAGTAATGGTTCTGGTCCACAGTATAGCATAGCTGGCCACTGTCAGTGTTAGCATCCAGAGGCTGAGAATTGTACCAAAACTTCAAAGCCACAGTTCCAGGAGATGAGTCTACATTAAATAATACCACCCTTAATTATTTCTGTTTCACCCTTGCTTCAACTTCAGGTAACGTGTGTATTGTCAGTAGAGAAGCAGTGCTCAAGTTAGAAACAGTGTAATTAAATACATATGTATATTCATTTCTTTTAATCCTAGAATTGAATACGTATAGGAAGAATTCACAGGTATCTTTCAGAAAACAAGTGAATGGTGCTGTTCTCTCACAATGTTTTGAATTGATTTGTAGAAGTTGTGCTTCAATCTAAACGCACGTGCTGAATTGACTTAAGATCCCCAGGTAAATGCAGTACTTACATGTTTTAGTAGTTTTTTTCACATGAGATTCAGACTCTCAGCCCGGCCCTCCCTGAGGAGAAAAGAACTGTTTTCTTCCTCGCCTGTTGAGATCATGCTGACACACAGCAATGTGAAGTAGTTACTGGAAGCTGGTGTGCAAGCCCCTGCATCCACCTAACAGCTGTTGTGAGTCCTGGGAACAAGAAATTGTCACCAAGACGACTTAACTTCGTTAGCTAAAATATAACTAGTGGGCTAAAATTTGACCAAGACAGCGGTCATTATTGAGAACAGGTGTGGAAGCTCCCATGGCACTAACCGTCTGTCTTATGTACTTACTGAAAAAATCTGAGCTCTTGCATCTTTACCAGCAGCAGCCTCCTTGCAGGGGATGAAGTGCTCTTAGTGCCTTTGTGGCACAGGCGGTGCGGTAACCTGCACGGCCCGTGGCAGAACACAGAACTACGATGGGCTTTTCCTTCTCCGCCTGAGGACATCCCACCTGCTGAAGTAAGTCTGGGAGTCATTCCTCCTTCAGAGACAAGTTGTTTATGCACTCATCGGCCTGCAGCAGTGCCTCCATATGCTGCCCATGCTGCTGTAGCACTGTTGGCCCCGTAAGCCCCATGACCAGCCCAAACAGGCAGCCTTGTGCTCCCTGCTGCCTGCCCACCACTTTCCCTCCGTGGGAGGAAGCAGGCTGTGGCAGTGCTCCTTCATGTGCTGCCCAAACCCAGCACGTAGCGTTGGAGTGCTGGCAGGGCTGAGGTTGTACACTGCTGGCAGCTGCAGGGCTGTGGCCCCGGGGCCGCCCACACCGCTAATGCCACGTGTCGCAGGCAGCCAGCTGTGACGAGGAGGGCAGTGGGGCTGCTGCTGCCTCCTCAACTGTCGCAGCGCCTGCTGGGCAGACTTCCAACAGCGTGTCCTGTGGGCTGTCCTCCGTGTGAGGGTCCTGCATCCCTCACAAGCTCCTCGTTCCCAGGCATCTCTGTTGGTGGACCCTGGCCCAGCCCTGAGGGCAGGCAGTGCCCTGGCTGCTGCCTTGGATGCTGCTGCTGCTCCTGGCTTCTTGCGGGTCTCTGCCATGTCCCCCTTTGGGCTCTAGGTCCTTCTCCTCAGCTGATGACAGTGGTAAGTCGCAGAAAAGTAATGCCAGCCCTGAGGGATGGGTGCAGACTTGCTGATATTTGGCTGTTGTTCTCTGTTTGCTCTTGAATACTCCACTCTTCTGCCCCTGAGCTCTTCTGTCTCCTCTTCTTCCTCTGCTCCCATGCCATCTCTCTGGCTGTGGCTCCACACGGCACTTTCTCAGGGAGTTACTGCAGTGTACTGCAGTCTGAAAGCAAACCTTAGCCAGCTGAGTGCCCTCTTAATCCCACCTCATCCTATTTGCTCACCCTCACCTGCAGTTTGTAGGACTTCATTGCTTCCTCCCTCAGCTTGCTGAAGCTTCCTTCCTCCTGTGCTGTCCTCCCAGTTTTATTTTCTGGCTGCTTCTATGAACCCCTTCCCTGATTCTTGCAGGCTATTTTCCTTTTTGAGAGCAGCTGCTCATTTCTCTGCTCTAAGAGCACTTACTGTGCTGGGGGGGGGAGGGGTGGAAGTTGACCGGTGTCCTCAGTCCTGTTTTCACTTTTATGTCCTTCAATTGCACTTTTCTGCTAAGTGAGCTAGACTAGAAGTCCTGAATAAAACCCAGTGCTTGGCTTTAGTCCCATTTTCTTTCTCATGATACTTTTGTAAACCTATTGCTCCTTCTAAGCTGCCACGACAAGTTTTTTGGAACTGTCCTGTGGGCATTTGGCACCCAGATGCTACCTTCCCAAGCTGCTCTGTGAATTCTTGTCCTTTCTGGTAGAGCTTGACTCCTAGCTAGTAAGGAACCCTAGGGATGACCAGGATACCCACATGGACAGGGAACTGAGCCACTGTCAGTGCCCAGCAGCTAAACATACAGCTGTAAAGAACCAAGAGAGGAAGTGGTGTGGTTGCTGTGGTGCAGCTGGGAGCTTCTCAGCACCTGCTGCAGTTAAGGATGATGTCCTGTCTGGGCAGCTGTGCACCTGTGGCCAGTTCTTTTAAATGGCTCACCAACCTCAAACCACTCTTATGTAGATTGATCAGCACAAATGTGTTAAGAGGATACCTTGTGTGGCTGCATGGGGTGGACGCAGATGTAAGGAATTATTTTTGGAAATTGTGACTGATTGTTGGTGTTTGAGGAAGAGTGATTGTGAGGCTGCTGTCTTGTGTGTGTGCGGTGGGGACTCGGAACAGAGAGAAGCCCTGGGTGATAGCATGCTCCTGGACAGCAGCTTGAGCTACCAGGTGAGTTAGGTCATGCTTCCCTCTAGTGGACTGCTTATAAACACATATTTTCCACTATTGCCACAAAAAGCACCTGGAGAAACTGCTTTGAGTAACAGCTTGCAAGTTCTGTCTGATGCCCCAATGTATTTTGCAAGAGTCTGAGGTGATAGATGGCTGCTTTATTACCTGTACTCTGTTAGAAGGATTTTCTCCTTAGTTCATCTGCACAAGGCATCTTGACTGGTAACATCCATGGTTTTGAAGCAAACATCTCTAGATTGGCAGCCAGTAGACCTTACTGAAGAAATAAACTTACCATCAGATAAGTTTGTTTAAAAAAAAAGCATCAGAACAGTTGTTCCCAGTTAAACTGTCCAACAGTTAAAGATATTGGTATCATGTTTTTGCAGCACACTGATACTTAATGTTCTGGTGAGCGTCTACTGAAACATGAAGGCCAAAGCCAAAGGGAAGAAGAAAAGGTGTACAGCTGATAAAGAAGCCTTTTCTGAGGAGTCTGCAATGAGAAAAAAGGAACTGGTGAAATGCCTGCGGCACACAGAGAGGAGGAGTGGGGGAAGCAAGGAGAGCAGCAAGATTGCTGCAGCCAGAGCCAAGCATCCTTGGAGCAGTAAGGACAGACATCTGAGGAGACTGGAAAGCAATGAGCGGGAGAGGCAGAGAATGCACAAGCTCAACAATGCATTCCAGGCCCTGCGGGAGGTAATCCCTCATGTGAGAGCTGAGAATAAACTTTCCAAAATAGAGACTCTCACACTGGCCAAGAATTACATTAAATCATTGACCTCCATTATACTCAATATGTCCAATGGACACTGTCCAGCTGCAGAAGGGTTGGGGGGATCCTGGGGGCCCAAACTGTACCAGCATTATCAACAGCAACGTGGGGACGATGATCATAGCCTCCGCAAAAATACCTAGTTAGCTGCTACCTTCACTCCTCCTTTACGGTACTTAGCTGCATGGAAGAATCATCTGTTTAAAACCTCTGCCCCCATTTTTTTCTTAAAAAGACAGAGGTGATGGTCATGGCCAGAGCTTATGCTATGTATAAAGAGTTATCATAAATTACAAGGAATTTTCAGAGCTTGCACTGCCAGGAGGGATTGTGAATTAGCCAGTCCTGAATTCCTGTGAATTAGACAGGCCTGAATGCATTTGTTTTCGTTGGTTATCAGTGCTACCGTCATGATTCCCAACTGTTCAGTGGTTTGTTCTTGCCTGTGCTATGACTGTAGTGTGACTGGATGAGCAGAGCAGTGCATGTGAAATTGGCCTCTAACCCTGAGTATTTATCTGGAGTGCGGAATCAGCTCTGGAGTTCACTAAAGGCAATGGAAGACATTGCTTTGGTTTTATTGTGTCCTGGACATGCATTGTGGTACTTAAGATACACAGTGTGATTTCAAATCTTGCAAAGCACGACAGCTTCTAAAAATACTGTTGTTGTAAACACCTACAGAGCTTCCTTAGAGTGCCAGTTCTCCCGAGTAAAGGAGCTTTCTGGGCTGTTTGTAAAGGATATCAAACGATGCACAAATCATTCATTTTTACAAAAAGCATAATCTTGCAATATAGTCTTACATTGGGCGATGATTAGTTGCAAATTATTTGCTAACAAAGCCTGTAACACGATGGGGATTCGTTCTGTGCTACTGCTAGATTCTGGTGAAGCATAATAAATGGAGCAGGAGCTGTTGCAGCACTACAGAAATCCATTTCCCCTCGCCGTGAGAAGTTCTGTTACTGAGATTTCCTCCTCAGCTCTGCAGCCTCCCGACGGACCGCCCGCGCCTCGGTCGGCTCTGTTCTCAGTGCGGGGTGCCTGTGTCAGACGGAACCCGGCCTCTGGCGGATTTGATTTGCCGAACGCTGTTGGATCCTAATTCGTGCAACAGCCGCTCCTCTGCTACGCCGCGCTCCTTAACCCCTGTGCGTTTTGGATTACGGGAGGAGGACGAGCAGCTCTGCCGCCCCTCGTCCTGCTGCAGCCTCGTGCTGCGGCTGTTGTGCCGCGCTGCTGGGCGGGCAGCCCGGCTTCCTCCCGAGCGTCGAGATGGGAGAGCGGCTGTGAGGGAGCGCGAGGATGCGGCTGCGACGCCAGAAGCGCAGCGCCTGCAGAGCCGGACTGCGGTACAAAGCTCTGTGAGAGGGTCGGCCGCGCGGCAGGAGCTGCCGTTCTGTGGTGCGGGCTGATTTTCCCGCCGTCTGCGCCTACAACGCGCCGCCGCTCGTGGCCACAGGACGTTCCGCAGCCGCGGCTCTGAGGCGGGCGCTCCCGGCCGTGAGAAGGCGCCCATCGCCACCGGAGCGACCGGACCTCCGCGGCGGGGAGGAGCCGCTCCGCACCGGGGTGAGCGAGGCGCCGCGGGGATCGGCGGGGAACTCGGTGCGGCGTCGTTTGTAGGGAAGGAGCGGGAGGCGGCGCTGGGGGCCGCGAGGCGTTGGCGGGCTCGTCTTCTCGCGAGGAGCGCCATGCGTTGTGCGGGCCGGGCGGCCTTCCGGCGCGGCGCTGCATTGCGGGGAGGCCTGCGCGTGTCGTCGCGGTCTCGTCCGGATGCTTCCGAGGGAGAGCCGGCGTTGGCGTCGCTGCCGGCTTGCTTTGGCAAAGGGAGGAACGCGTTGGAAAAGTTGCTGAGCGGTGCCTCGTTGGGAGCTGCCCGGCCGTAACGATTGCGGCGCGGTGCGGATCAATCCGTCCCGTCACAGCGCCAGTGGTTCGCGCTGAACGTAACGCGGCGAGCGCGTGAAGGCTGCGGGGCTGCGCTGCAGTCTGCTGGGCTCCGCGCTATCAAAGGAAAAGCTTTTTTATGCGTCGCAGAGAAAATATAATTCGAGCGATCGTCTAAAAATGTATATGGTAACGTTTTTATTTGGATGAGCTACCGTGCAAGTTATGCAAAAATCCGTGTATGGTAATTTATGCAAACGTCGCTTATGGTGCTTCTATAATGCAAGTATGGAACAGATCATCACAGTCAGAAAGATCAGCAGGCTTTGAGACTCAGCATCTTCACTCTTCATTCACATTTGGACTTGGAAACAGTGCTTTCCTTGGCGTTAGAATGTCAAATATATTCTTTAAACACTTGCAAACTTCAGTTTTGGTTCTACAAATACAGTACTGAGACCACATCACGCTGCTTGTCGTACAAAAATAACTTCATACACAGTCACACACACAGGGAAAAGGATTGTAAACTGCTGCCAGGGGCAATGTGCTTTCTTAGCACTTCCATGGGTTAGACTGCAAATAGTTTTATGTCACAGTTTAACTAAGATAAGCAAAAGACTGGAAAATAAGCTTTTTTGGGAATGAAAAGTGGTCACTTGTAAGAAAGGGATAAATCAATCACTTAGTAAAGAGCACAGCCTCCTGAATCTGCAGTAGTGTATGGTGGCAATGTCCCTTGGGACTAGTGAACTTATTTTGCATTCCTACCATTTAAGACCTGCTCTTCTCCTTGCGGTATGAGAGCAAACCTTGCAGCTCTTTGGAGCACAGCCTCACCTCTCTGCTTTCGGGTCCCTTCCAGCATCATTAGGTGGGCATCTGTCCCCCAGTTATCAGGGTTCCAGTTAAGGTGGAGAGGAAATGTATTGCTGTTGGGACAATTTAGCATGAGACCGTGCCTGTCTTAGCAAGACTGAATAGGACATGCTGTCTACACAGTCATGCAAAGACCAGTGATTCCACTTCTTGATTAAGATATTACTTACTGTGTGCCAAGATAGCAGAAGTTGTCCCTTACTGATAACTGCATCGTGAGCTGAGCTGTATGAAGTTCAGTTTTCCTGATGGGAACAGGAGTAACATGACTGGAGCTCTACAGGCTGATACAAGCAGGACTGAGGTGAGCAAAGTTGTGACTGCCTAAATGTTTATAGTCATGTCGTTATGTTCACAGTGCAAGTCACTGGAACTGCCTCAGATTCACTTATATTGATGTCTCTGTCAAGTATGCCTCTCAAATATACTGTGAAATCTAAAAAAAACGAGAAATGTTATGGTTGTATGCAAAGAATTTCACATCTGTATGGATGTGAAGCAGCTGTGGAAAAGGGTCAGAGATACATGGTTGGCTGCAGTGCTTTCCTGTCCTGACAAAACTATTACTTCTATGAAGTCACATTTTACACACGACCTAGTAGAAGAAATCAGTATTTAAATCACCCCATTGCAAATTCCAGTTTGGTAAAATACATCAGTAGCACAAGAACGTCGTGTTTTCTCTCAGGCAATGAGCATTTAGTTTCCTTTTAAATTCTACTGACTACCGCTTGTTTGCAGAACGCAGTTTAACAATTAACTGCATTTCTGTCCACCTCTTGTCTTTCACTGACCAGCAGAGGCGTTCTGGAACGTTCTGTTTTCCCTCTCCTTCCGTTGCCTTCTGACCCCATGGGCTCTGTGGGGCTCTCGCAGGCGTTGGGCGCGCTGCTCCTGGGCGCCTCGCTGGCGTTTCCTCTGACTGTGATGTGTTCCCATCCACCCTGTGAAGGATCGATAAATACAGAGAAACATCAGCCTGCAAGTACAGTATTTGCTGTACGTGCACCGCTGGTTTTATAACATTTATTCATGACTTCTTAACTTTCAAGCTACCTATTTAAAATCCAAATAAATGACTTCCAGCTACAACTGCACGATCCATCACATTTAATTTAGAAAAGGAAATGAAACAGGAGAACACAAGTTCATTTCCTGCGGGTGTGCAAGCCCTAGCTAGCTCACCAGCTTGCTGCCTGTCTCCGAGCAGCCCCCTCCGTGCAGCACGGTGCCCACACGTACCCCAATGCCGTAGTCCCACGCCAGGCCCTTGGGTTCCATCGGCTGAACCCCAGTGCGGTGGCAGACGGTCCCACAGCTCAGACCGTGACTTCCTTGCACTTTGTCAGCTATCACCCAGACCTTAAGAAAGCAAAAAGAGGCAGTAACAGCATTTGTTCTTCATGCTGCAGTTCCCAGACGTGGCAAATCTAAGCCTGCTTGACTGTGTTCGCAGGCAGCCCAGACTGCTCTAATTCAGACACCCAACCGGGTAGCTGGGTTGTAGTGGAAACAGCGCCAGAGTACAGCTTGGCAGGAAAGAGGTTATGCATAGAAATGTTAGAGAAATAGAACATCAGGGCTTTTGAAGGAATGGCTGTATCACTACTTCACTGTCGTGTTCTGTCACGCTGTCAGGGTTCTGTCACTCAGATAATCTCAGTGTGCAATAAAACCATGCCAAAGAACATTTGATTACAAAAATACGTTGAGCATAATTTTTAATAACCTGATGGTGTGCCAGGAAGCTTCATACACACCTGGTCCAGGGGCCCCACAGACATTTTACGGATGTTATTTGAGACATGATCCCAAGCAGATCCTTGCGGGTAGCTCGGCGTGATGCCCTGCCGGTACCACAGGTTGCCTGGGGAACAAAAGGTCCTGGTTGCAGCTTGGGGTTTTGCTCCACATAGAGCAGGCACACATGATGTTTCTGACTGATGTTTTACAGCAAGGTCCCTACTTTGGAATGTGTGTTTCTGTGGTTACTCTATAGCTTTTCTGGAAAACTGCCGCTGTTCTGGTTTGAAAAAAATCTTTAGGAAAAATATTTATATGAAGAACTATGGTTTAGAGATGTAGAACATGAGAGTAAGGTCTCTGAAGGAGACTGGAGCGAAGGGCTTGTTTCTTCATGGTGCAGCTGCTTGTTTCTGGCTTTAGCAGCAGGAAGGAATTCTTAGTTCTGTTTTAGGGCTTCAGGCACAAAAGCCTTGCGTGCAGCTCTCCTGAGAGTCACCTCTGTGACTTTTTTCCAAAAAACAGCATGGATGGAGGAACAGATGAGGGTTGTTGCTTAAGGTGCTACCAGCTATTGCAAAACACGCCTCTTTTAGTAAGAAATTCTGTTCCTCTTGGAATAACAACCTGTCCAAGCAGATGATTTGGCCTGGACTGATGTATACTGATCTATTTTTTCCAACATTGATAAATAATTTTGAAAACCCTTACCATTTTTATCCAACACAAACACTGACGTTCGTCCTACCGAGACTTGTTTTAACTTTTGTTTTTGAGGTGAAGGAATGTGGTACCAGCAGTCACCTAGAAGTCAGAAATAGGAGAGTAAAATAATGAGGAAACAAGATCACGTAGAAGAGTTCTTGGAAATGCCTGCAGTGGAAATGCACAGCTGTGCACGGGAGCCATGGAAGGTGTTGCACTCAGTGCATTTGCACAACTTCTTTTTGGAGACGAACTGCATTTCCAAATCACCCAAGTGAAAAGCCAACTGACTTCTGTAATTAACAGGATGCTATGGTTATTCATGGCAATGTAGTAGAGCTTGCATCACGTATAAAGTGAAGATTGTAACAAAAAAGTACAAAAGCTCACCTGCAGGTTTCTTTGGAGACACTGAGCCCCGATAGAAGGCAGAACCATCTCTAGCAACAGCCCACACCTGGAAAAATGCTCCAACCGAGATGGAAATGAAGGGCTGATCTGTTCCCACGTGGAGCCAGGACGTTCCCTGACAAATCAGAGGTGAA